CACAAGGGGGCAGTGCGCCCCCGCCCCTGGGCTGACCCGGCCCAGCCGGATGTCCCGCTTGCAACATGCTTGGGTTTGGGGTCTTGGCTCGGGGCGGAGGGAAGGGACCGACCCTCTCCTTGCCCCCAGGATGCCGTCCCCTACCACTGCGCCATGCTGCAGGCAGCAGGCACTGGCACCTGGATGGAGCAGGCAGCGCGCTCAGCCCTCCTTTGTGGACAGGACATAGGCACTAAGTGACAGGGCCAGGGTTGCATGGGCAAGCGGTGGCAGAGGCCTGCCCTCCCTGGATCTCAACAGCTCGCACCCAGCCCTTGCGCACAGGGAACTGCTCCGTTGCCTGGTGGCAGCAGTAGGAGGCTGTTATCCTCTCCTGGAGGGGACCAGGCACAGCCCACGAGCCCCACAAATCTCCCATCCTCCTTTCCCCTCCCAGCATCAAGGGCTGCATCTCCTCCCTCCGTGCCTGCCTCACCCTGGGGGAGATCAGCAGCCAGCTGGCATGGCTGGAGGCGGGGGTCCATGTGACGGGCAGCCGGGCCCTCGGGTCCCATCACGTCCTCAGCGCGGCCCCGTGAGTCCTGGTGCCACCTCGCGGGCATCGGGGTCAGGAAAGAGGCTTAGGAGAAGGGACCGGGGACTCGGATGCCTGGACCGTGGTCCACAGAGGTGTCTCTGATGGCTACTGACTGCCCGCAGGACCTTGGGCATGCTACACGTACCTCTACTGCCTCAGTTTCCCCAGACTGTGCAGGGGGACAGGCCACTTCTGTGTCACCAGGCACTGTCCTAATACACAGAATAACACAGGCCTCTTCCCTTTGCCACTGACCCACTGCATGGCCCTGGGCATGACTCTTAAGGTCGCGCTGTCCACAGAGACCAGAGGAGCGATTGGCTTTTCAGAGCAAAGTGCCTGGTGGTTTATGGCTCCGTGCCTCAGTCACCCCATCTGTGAAACGGGCAGAGAACGGTGCAGGAGCCCACCCGTGTGCTGTGCAGCAAGACCGGGAGTGCCCCGCGGTGGTGGCAGGGGGTTCAGCACATCCTTATGCCTAAGCACACACACATGCACACATGTATGCACTGGTGTGCACACATGCATCAGGCCACAACACAGGCTGCCCCCATCCTGCCCAGCTCCTGTCCTTCAGGCCTGCTCGCTCCACAGCAAAACACTGCATGCGCTCCGTGCCTCAGTTTCCCCACCGGAACTGACACTGGAGCTTCAATGCCCCGGGGAGTGTGAGCACCCCCCACACGCGGCCCTGGGACAAAGATAAGAGTCTACAACTGCTGCGGGAGCTCTTCCTTCAGCTCATGCGAGGGATGATCCTGTTTTTAGCGCGGGTGAGCCGTGGCAGTGCCTCCGACCCACTTCCTCGCGTGCTCCGGCCGTGCAAATGATTAGGGACTTACGGAAATACTATTATACGCGGCCAGGTGTAACCAGCCATGGAGACCCCGCGGAGGTGGAGAAAGGGATGGTCCTGGAAAGCCAGAAACCTGCCTCCCTGGAGCTAGAATCACGTTGATTTGTACAGCGCCGAGCACGCAGGAGCCCCAGGGCTGGACCGGGACCCCGACCTGTAGCACTAAACGGCCCCCATCTCTCTCAACTGCATGAAGGACTCCTGCATGATTCTTTATCAATTTTTATCCCAGCAGGCCCTGGGGGCTCAAACCCAGATCCAGACCTGGTCTGCGCTAGGTGCTGTACAGATGTGCAACCAGCTCCGTCCTTGCCACCGAGCACTCAGTGATCACTGGGGTCGGTAAGCACAGGCACAGAGGACTGAGAAGAACTAACGGTCAACTTTATGGCAGAGCAGCACTCAACCTCTGCAGATCCTGGGTTTGTCCTCTATGGCAGAGCAGCACTCAACCTCTGCAGATCCTGGGTTTGTCCTCTATGGCAGAGCAGCACTCAACCTCTGCAGATCCTGGGTTTGTCCTCTATGGCAGAGCAGCACTCAACCTCTGCAGACCCTGGGTTTGTCCTCTATGGTGGAGCAGCACTCAACCTCTGCAGACCCTGGGTTTGTCCTTTATGGCGGAGCAGCACTCAACCTCTGCAGACCCTGGGTTTGTCCTCTATGGTGGAGCAGCACTCAACCTCTGCAGACCCTGGGTCTGTCTCTCGTTTATTCACTGAATGGAGGGACCTTCTCCCAATGCCCGACCTCCGTGGTCCCCTCAGTAAGGGCGTGTCTCCAAACGAGCAGGTCTCTCGCTGCAGAGGACTGGCAGCCTGACAGGCCAGCCGGAGGGGGCTGGGCAGGCCGTGCCTTACACATGGTGGCGCAGCCGGCTAACGAAGCCTCCACACGGAAATGGCTAACGAAGCACCGTGGGTTGGAAGAAGCCGGGGGTGTCAATCATGGCCCTCAGCCACGCGCCAGCAGCAGCACCCCCACTCCCACGGCCTGCGTCCAGCGGGCCCTGAAGCCGCGTGGATCCCCTTGGCACTTGCTCGGCCGCTTCCAAGGGCTTGGCAGGCCTTGCACGGACCGGGCAGCCGGCAATGGTCCCAAGGCTGGTACGGCACAGGCCGGGGAAACTGAGGCACGGGGCAGCT